TCCTCAAACGTATGTGGAGAAAAGTTGCTCAAATTAGGACATGATATAAACGGGTATGTATCAACCTAGGCTGTGACGTGCAGTTTGACGTTACTAGGCCTTTGATTTGGGGAACTTTGGGGCTGGGCTGGGAGGACTAAACGTGAATGATTTGGGAATGCTGCGGTTCACCCCATCCCCTCCCTCTCTCTCATCGCCCTAGTGTGAAGAATCATTAGCTGAATACAAGTGTATAACTGAAGTCAGATTTCATCCCAAATATCAAATCCTTTATCCTTTTGCCAAACTTTAAAGGAGAAAATATATGTTCAGCTTATGTTTTATTTTCTTTTTAAATGTTCCTGAAAAAGTTCTACTTCTATAGATTGAGAAAACTTAGGGAAAAAGAAGAGAAATGTCCATGACAAAACATCTCACACAGATGAGACATAGATGATAAGATGCCCATTATAAAAATGACCTCCAAAAAAAGCATTATTGTTGTTGCTGTTTAAAAGTAACACAAGTTCACTGGGGGAAAAGATCAAAAAAGTATGACAAAGAAAGAAAGTTCATCTTGTATTCTACCATCCACAGATAAACACTGTTAACATTTTGGTCTATGTCTTTCTAGGATATAAAACATACATATATATACATATATATAGGATATAAAACAAAGGCTTGCCTTGGGAGTGGGAAATTTCGGCCAACTAAGAAGTGGGGTTTTTTGGTAGGTGTTTTAATTATTTTGGGTATAAAAGATTATACAAATGGGTATAAAAGAAGGAATAGGCCTGCCCCCCAGTCTATGTTGTGTTTTATTCATACATTCACTCACTCATTCATTCAGTAAGTATTAAGCACTTCCTATGTGCCATGTACTGGGTTAGGGGCTGTTCATTATGTGGGCCTAGGCCTTTCCGCCACATGTGGTGCTAATGGTATTACCAAAACACATGTGGGAGGGAGAGGGCCTGAGGCAGACGCTGTTTTTGTCATCTGCATATGACTTCGTGGAGGGCTAAGGTGCCGGGAGGGCAGGTATTTTGGTGGACCAGAGACAGCAGGAAGAACCAGAGGGAGCAGCTTTTACCTCCTGAGTGCCAGGCAGAGGCAGCCTGGAGTCCATTTAACTGTTCACTTTAGGCTGCCTGGCTTCATGAGCTGAGGAAAAGGTTATTTAATAGTTAATAAAAGAATAGCTACTATTTATTGTCTGTTGTATGCCAAATGGTGTACTATGCATATATCATTTCATTTACTTCTCCCAATTAACTTTGTAAATTAATAACTAACATTTATTGAGTACGTACTATGTGATAGCTACTGTTGTAAGATTTTACATGCAGTCAATACGTTGAATCCTCAGGACAAACCTGTGAGACAGTTCCTGTGATGATCCCCCTCTTACAGATGAGGAATTGGAATTTCAGAGAGACTTGCTCAAGGTCACATGACTGAACATGACAGACCAACAATTCCAAAGCCTCTACCATATATTTGCCCACAGCTGTTTAACTTATTTAATTAATGAAAAATACTGTTTCTGAGGAATAATAAACCCCATCTCCTACCAAATTCAATCCTGGACGTTTGTGTGAGTGTCACTTTTTAGACACTTCAACATTGAAGCCAGGATAGGAAAACATACTCTTTAAATATGACTATTTTTTTTATTGTGGTAAAATAATATGAAACATAAAATTTACCATTTTAATCACTTTTAAGTGTACAGTTCAGTGGCATTAAATACATTCGCATTGTTGTGCAACCATCACAGCTATCCATCTCTAGAACTTTTTCATCATCTCGAACTGAAATTCTATGCCCATTAAACGATAACTCCCCAGCCCCCAATGACTTGTTTTTAAAGGAGTTAGATAACTGTATAAAGCTTAGTTTTCTTTATGTGAACGAGAACATAATTGTTTTAGGGATATGAAGGAAAGATATATTTGCCAGTATAACGGTAAATGCAGAACCTACTGACAAAGGTATATAATTTGTGAAAATAGCTGAGTGGGCAAGATTCTGATTTTCAGTTGCCCTAGGCACTTCAGGGCACTTCTGATAATCATTTTCCTTGGGCATGTAGTTATACTGATAGAAATCACATCCATGCATAAAGAGTGAGCCTAATTATACATAACTACATACCTAAGATGTGGTTTTACCTTTTTTTTTACATATACTTTATGATTTACAAAAGATGAGACACTAAATTCTAACTGATCTCAAAAAAGTAGTGTGTGTCACCCTCAGAGCATGAGAGTCTTATTGTATGAATTATCCTTTTTACATGAAGACACTGTATCTTGCCTTCCCCCACCCCCTTTTGTTTTCATGACATGGGGATTCCACGGTCTCATCTGGTCCCTGCTGTGACTCCGAGGACAGGCAAATGCACAAAGGCTGATTTAGGGTTTTGGATGTAGTGGCTGGTGGAGCAAAACTACGTGGTCTTATTGAGAAAGACAATTCTCTACATCCTCAAGTCATTCGTACTTGAGGATGTACTTTTGAGCCCAATCATTTGAGCTCAAAATAATAAAAATTAAAAAGCAGCCAAGGGGCCGGCCCCATGGCTTAGCGGTTAAGTGCGCATGCTCCGCTACTGGTGGCCCGGGTTCGGATCCCGGGCGCACACAGACGCACCGCTTCTCCGGCCATGCTGAGGCCGCGTCCCACGTAGAGCAACTAGCAGGACGTCCAACTATGGCATACAACTACCTGCTGGGGCTTTGGGGGGTAAAAAGGAGGAGGATTGGCAATAGATGTTAGCTCAGAGCCGGTCTTCCTCAGCAAAAAGAGGAGGATTAGCATGGATGTTAGCTCAGGGCTGATCTTCCTCACACACACAAAAAAAGCAGCCAAAATGGTTTGAGTGCTAATGTATGCCCCTGGCACTGTGCTAATTGCTTTAAATGTATTATTTCATTTAATCCTCAAAATCCTGTGAGATAGGAATCAAATTCCTGTTTTGCAGGTGGGAAAACCCAGGAACAGAAAGATGGTGTAACTTGCCAAAGGGGTTAATCAGTGACAGACTAAGGATTGAAACCCAGGCAGGCTGGAGCCCCTGCTGCTAGCTACTCTGTTAACGAATGTGACTGGTCCATAACAGGCTTGACAGCAGGGTTCCTTTGTAAGAGAGTCAAGGTTAAAGCAAAAAAATATTTACACATTTGAGCCCCTACGTGGGTGAAGTGAGCAGGGGAGTCCCAGCAAAGGTCAGGCACTTCGTCTGGAGGTAATGGCTCTCCAGCCAGGGAAGGGGAATGGGGAAGACAAGGGTCATCTCCTTCCAGCCCCATTTGTTATCTGGTTGGTGCGAGGAGATGGAAGGAAGGGACATCTCTAAACAGATTTCCGAGGGCGTCAGGTCATTCTTTGTGCGCTCTGTCTGGTTTTGTGCCCTTTGCCCTAGGTCTTGTAATTGCTGCCTCCTCCTTAGCACTGCTCTCCCTTGAGGGAACCACTTCTCCAGAGCCTAACTCTCCGGTTTACTTTTACCTCCCTACATCTCCATGAGTAGTCTTCTTTGCTGAGTGTAACTGATTTCATCTGGTTGTTAGGATGGATGTGGGCTTAAATGAATGGACTCCAAAGTGAGATTGACTCTCCCCCTCCTCATAATTCCCTAATTCTCCCAGGAATGTAGCCGGATCTGTATTTCTGAAAGAAGGAGTTTTAGTGCAAATGACTCCCCAGGTGAGGGAGACATTTCTGGACAGGGAGGAGTATTGATAGATTCTGCCAGAAATTGAGGATGCTCAGCCACTTGTGTCATACGGATAGGTCATATTGATCCAGGAGCTTTCGGAGGTTCCTCAGAGTAGCTCCTGCCCCATTTAATCTCCAGTCTCCTCCACACTCTAGCAGGGCCAGAAACACTCTCCCGACTCCTGCTCGTGGTTCTTGCTCACAGGGTACTATCATCCTCACGCAACTTAGAATGAGGAGAGGTAGCATTTCCTGAGAATGTTCCTAACCCCAAAGAATGTGTTTGCAGGTAGTTTTCATAATTTTCATGCGTTCAATTTATGTTTGAGGAACAAGAGCCTTACATCTGTAGGTGGCACCTTTGTGGATAATTTTGTGGACCTTGAGAGTTGTACCCTCCTCATATGGAGTGGTAGTACGCTGTGCCAAATTGTGCTCCAGTTCTCGGTCTACTCTGGTCATTAAAACCCTCTTGTATTTCCGACAGAGGTTAGCAATGTTTACTACATTGCACTTGAATAATTGTACCTCAAATTAAATGAAAAATATATTCTGATGATTTTCATACTGAAGTTTAGTCTTTATTTCAAAATGGTGCCATAATATTTAGCATGCCATTGTATGATAGCTCCATTTAGCAATAGTGACAGTTTGCAGATGAGTCATAGGGAGGATTTATTAGGACATGTTTAAAGTTATGTCATGTAAATAAAAACTGAAGACTGGATTTAGGACGGGGGCCTACAAGGTACCAGCCGAGGTGGCTAGAGCTATTCCTTCAGTCCCCACCACGCTCTTGTCTTCTTTCTTTCCTACTTTTTACATCACTATTGCAGCACAGTACACACTGTCCTCAGCCTGTTCTGAAAACACTGCCCCACTTGGTCAAGTTACCCCAAAGCTACACCATGACACACCGTGACAAGAAAAAGAGGTGTTTTTAGGGGCCGGCCCGGTGGCGCAAACGGTTAGGTGCGCGCGCTCCGCTGCGGCGGCCCAGGGTTCGCTGGTTCGGATCCCGGGCGCGCACCGACGCACTGCTTGGCAAGCCATGCTGTGGCGGCGTCCCATATAAAGTGGAGGAAGATGGGCACAGATGTTAGCCCAGGGCCGTCTTCCTCAGCAAAAAAAAAAAAAAAAAAGAGGAGGATTGGCAGATGTTAGCACAGGGCTGACCTCCCCAAAAAAAAAAAAAAAAAAAAATGAAAAAGAGGTGTTTTTAAATTAAACTAATCCAAGGGCAACCAGAATTGGCTTATTTCAATTTTCTATTCTTTATCTCGTTTTAATTACAGCCCCTTGGAGCCAGTGACTATTTGGAACTATCAAAGAATTTTGATACAGTATTTTTACGAAACATTCCACAATTTACGCTGGCGAAGAGGACTCAAGCTCGAAGATTCATAACGCTCATTGATAACTTTTATGATTTCAAGGTAAGGATATAGTACATTTTCTCAAAATGAAACATTCTGGACCGTGGAGCCAGGTTGCCTGGGCTGGCATCCTGGTCCACCACTTACTGCACTTCTTGTGCCTGTTTCCTCATCTGCAAATCAGGAATGATGACAGTATTCACTTCAGAGAGTTGTTGTGAGGACAAAATAAGCTAATCCATGTAAAGCATTTAAATCGCTTGGCGCAAGCTGAATGCTGTATGAATACTATTAGCGGTAGTATAGTAACACTTCCATCATAAGACACTCTGCTACATTAATGATTCCATCATCCAACTAGATGTATCATGTGCCCTGTCTATGCTGATATACAACAGCATGCCTTCTCTGGATTGAGTCCTCAATAAATATTTGTTGCATGAATAAATCATTGGACTGATAAAATAATGAATGAACAAATGAATGAATGACTAAACGACCGTCCTCAGTATTGGAGCTTTCTCTCTCTATGACGCAGAATCCCCAGTAACTGGCGTGGTACCATTTTGTTGTTTGTTTGTTTCTTAATCTGTGTGTTTTAGCACAAGTTGCAGAGCCATCATCTGTTCATCAGAGGCTGTATAGCTTAGTGGTTAAGGAGTGGGCCCTTGGGCCAGCTGTCTGCCTTGAAGACCAGCTTCACCTCTTGGGCTTCAGTTGCCTTCTGTAGAAAAAGGGGGTCATAATGGTACTTATCTCGTATGGGTGTTGTGAGGATTAAATGAGCACGTACGGCACTTAGAACATTGCGTGGCATATAGTGAGCTTTCACTGAAGGTGAGCCACTGCACTATTAATCGTGTATATCTGTAAATATATATTTACAGTAAAAGTATAAGTACAACTTCAAATTAGAGTTAACTTAAAAATTATTTTACTGTTAGATAAAATTTTCCTCCCTATTCCTTATACAGAAATGGGTAGAGCAGTGGTTCTAAAATTGAAGGGACTTTGAGGGGAGGAGGAAAGTACCAGAATCTGCTGGGAGGGAGAGGTGAGATTTCAGTCTTTCATTTATTCATTCATTCGTGCAACAACCTTTATCATGCCCAGCACAGTGCTGAGCTCTAGATATTCAATGACACGCACAGCCGGACATGGCGCCTGCCTTCTTGGAGCTTATAATCTTGTGTCGAAGGGACATTAAACAGATGTCTACAGAGCTAAATGTAAAGTCACCATTGTGGGATGATCTCTTGGAAAGAGAGAGAGGAGTTTGATGCTGGGAGAGTAAACTGACTTTTGTGGGAGGGTGGGAGGTTCTTCTTGAGGACCACCTGCATCAGAACCATCTAGGCTACTTAAGACCTGGATTCCAGAGCCCACCCCATCCCCGGCCCAGCAAATGAGCCCTAATCCCAGGGGATGGGGCCTGGAAGCTGCATGTTCACAAGCTCCTCAAGTGCTTCTTATAAACGCTGAGAAGTGATGGCTGAACTCCACATGCAGGGTGAAAAGGGGTCACCAGGGTGAGGGTTTGCAGCAAAGGTCCCGTGGTGGGCTGGAGCATGAAGGGCGGCCAGCATGGCTCTGGTGCAGCGCTGACAGGGACCCTCCTTAGTGAGTGACATCAAAATCTGCTGCATGCTCCCATGGGGCTGACGTGTGTGATCAGGGAGTCAGGAGAGGCAGGAAGCTGGAACACCAGAGCTGGGGCATCAAGTCCTATCACTTGTCTCCGCTGGGTCACTCATCCAGAGACTCTGCTCTGAAATAATCATGTAGGGTCTGGAATAAAGGGAGTGAGCCTGGAGGTGGCAGTCTGTTTTCAGAGGGTTAATTCTTCAAGAAGAAAGGAGTAGAGGGGCATTAGTAGGTGGTTCTTAGAGTGGAGGATTGATCCACTTATTTTTTTATATTTCAGCTAGGAATACATTACAGAAAACTTAAGGTCCCCATCCCTCAGTCCCACCCCCTAGTCCTACCTCACCCTCACTGTGTCACTTCTTAGTTAAAGGGAAAAAAGATTTATGTGGCAATTCAATGGAATACCAGAACCACTCTCCTAACATTTGCTTCTCCTAACATTTAACTAAATCACGTATTTAAAGTTTATACTCTTTTTTTAAAGAGTAGTTGAAATTATCTTATTTCAGAAATTGGGAGCATTAAGCAGACATTATTCTAGAATGTATTCATGGAAATTTGTGAAATAAGGGTATTCCCATCTAAATAATGAAAAAAGTGTCATTTGTGATTAAAAGAATTTATAAGAGGAGATAGAAGGCCATTTGGATATGGAAAAGCTGGTCCCAAATTTCAACACATTATTTTAAAGTATTGGTATCGTTATGTAAATAATGATTTTAAAAGAATAGCTATGAGTCCTGAAAACAAGTTCAGGACTCTTTAAACATCAAGAAGAGTATGTTTTGTATTTGAACTAGTGGACATAAAATTTATAAAAATATAAAAGCTGTTTCCAATATATGATCACATATGCACACTCACTCAAACACATAATCAAGAAATATTAATGTAAAGCTTAGTCTTTTTGAAGGCTGTCTTGGCAGGATGCTGATATAAGTGGAGGTTCTGGAAACTCAGGGTGTAGAGTAGCTAGCAATGCATGAACTTAGCAGTCACCCATGCAGTAAAGTGGTAACCTCTTTACAGTGCATCTGGGGAGCATCTTTGATGCATGGAGACGGGCTCCAAACGGCCAGGTATAAATGTCAACCTCGGGGTGTAGTGGAAAGACCGCTGGACTTAGAACCAGAAGATCTGGGCTGGAATCACGAGCTGAGACCTCTCCAAGCCTGAAGTTAACAACGAAACCTTTCATAGGATGTTATAAGCTGTGTGGAAATATTTTGAAATTTTAAACTATGCAGTTTAAAAATACCACTTTAATGAGACATAAACTATTAGAAAAAATATGAACATTTAAAAGCAAAAATCTGAGCTCTCTGTTGTGACAGAGTTATATTTTGTGAGAGATTTGTTCTTATCTTCAACTTGTGAAATGTAGGGAGTAATACCATTTACTCATTTTCCTCTATTTCAGGTGCGCATAATTTGCTCTGCATTGACTCCTATATCAAGCTTATTTTTGCATCAACATCATGACAGTGAGTTGGAGCACAGCAGAATACTGATGGATGATTTGGGGCTGAGCCAGGTAGGCGATATTAACATAATCTCTTTTTATTATAAAACAGCTTAATTGTCTTTGGTTTGATACATGGCTACACTTTGAAGAAAGAATGCAGTATATATTTAACCATTGATTTGCTGCTCTCTTCTAAAGCTGTATAACAGACTTATTCTCAATATCACTAAGTATAGAGAATTACAGTCTTAGAGTGGAAGGAATCTTCATCTTCATTTTTGCATCTGACAAAAACAAAGTCCAGAGAGGTGGACTAGTGGGCCCATGGTCACACCACTGACTAATGGCAGGCCAGAGCTGGACACCAGGGCACCTGTGTCTGACTTCTGGGCTCATTCTGCTACACTATGCTGTCTTTCTTGGATATTCCTCTTCATGTCCTCTGGATTTGTAGAATGCACGATATAGTAGCCAAGCATGTGGGCTGGCTATTCCAGGATCAAGGAGTGCCTGACAAGGCCCTTGGCTTAAAAAGAAATCCATGATTCATCTCCCAACCCCCATTCTGTAAACATTTATGGAGCACCTGTGGGTGCCAGGCTCTGGGGACACTCGGTAGGGAACCAGGCAATGCTGGTCCAGTTCTCCTGGAGCTTGGGGTCTGGTGATTCACCCCAGGCCAAGTAGGAGTGACTTTACATTTCCTTTGTCTGTATGAACGTTACAGGGCATGTTTCTCAACTGTAGACAATGAAAATATTAGTTAAAATTTTAAATCTATGTATAAACACTCACCCCCAGAATGAGGGGACCCCCATTCTTCCAACCCCAGAGGTGAAAGGCCATTTGAAATGAAGTAACAATTCCTTATTGACTTCAGTAGACATTATGCATTCTCAGGAGTTTGGGAAAATGAGGCCAATAGTCCTTTAAAAAGCAAACTTTCAAAATATGATTACTTAATCCTACATGTAGAAATAAGTAGCTGCTTATAAATCCATGTGCTGGGACCTTTAGAAATGATGGTTTCTCAGAGAGCATACTTACATCGAAATAATGTCTTTGATAATTTGAGAGGATACCCTTGAGGGGCTACATCATCTCGCTTTCTAAAGTCCTTTAAATCATGGGCTTTTAAATTTGTCTCCCGAGGATGGGTTCAGATATAGGGTAGAGTGAGCTCAACACTCAGGGCTCATAATATATGAAGAAATCAGGGCATGTGACTGCAGGGTCATATAGAGTTACAGTGGGTCAATGGGCAACACAAACTTAGGAGTCCAGAACTTTCCTCGGAAAGAGTATAATAGCAAACCCCTAAGGAAAGAGACAAAAATTCAACGCCCACTTACTGGCCGCAAGCCCACGTTGGTATCACCAGTCCTAGGCTGTTTACTGGCCTCAGAGAGTGCTCCCCAACTGACCCCTAGATGGGAGGATGGAGCAGCTCAAGACCAGAAGCAGCACTGGCCTTCCCAAAGTCAGCTCCCAGGCACAGTCTCCAGGCCCCACACAAGACCTCCGTCATCCAGTATGGAAAAGGCTCTTGAGAGGTTTGTCCTCAGGGCCTCGCCTTGGGAATGTGGCCCTGTCTATGAAGCTTCACAGGAAGGCGTCAGCCTCTTCTTAACTTGCCAGAACTGCTGTTTTTCTCTGTTACTTATTTCTGGCATGCATTTTTGGAGAAAGAATTCCTTTTCTGTCTGGAATGTCCTTCCTTTAGATTTTGCAGAGAACTTTCATCTGAGCAAAAATTTTCATAAATGGATTTTGGGGTGTTGTTTCAGCTTTAATTATTCTTCTAATGTTTTCTCCCTGGTAATTTGTTCTGTTTATTGATTATTGGTTTAAATTAGTTGATTCTCTAGTCTAATTTAAGAGACTGTATATGAAAAAATTTATAGAACATTTTAAAATCTAAACAGACAAACCTAAAAAGTTTTTTTAAACCTGTACTTAGTTCTGTAAACTTTTATTTTTAGTGGTTTTAATTGGTGCTGGGTTGTTGTTTTGTTTTGTTTTTTGGTAACCAGGAGTCCGCAGAAGGACTCTCCATGTTTACCGGAGAAGAGGAAGTCTTTGCATTTCAGCGCACGATTTCCCGACTCACAGAAATGCAGACTGAACAGTACTGGAACGAAGGGGACAGAAGCAAGAAGTAACCGTCACTTTTGTGTGAATAAAACGCTGGGCAAATGATTACCACAGGGAGAACTCTTTATTATGAGACTTGAAGGAATCATTTTCTCATCATTAATTATGCACTTTGTCTTCTGGACCATTTTTATCTAAAACTGCTGTCAAATAATGTAGTGGATTAGTAAGTTAAAGCCATTTTTCTAGGTCTACTTTTTGCCTATTTATTTGGCCTTGTTTCTGCACCACAAAATTAAAATCAGCACTCCTGAAGATTAAAGTAGGACCAGACATTTTGGCTTCATATCAAGCCACTTGAATGAACCTTGAAAACACACACACACACACACACACACACACACACACACACACACACACACACACACACACACACACACACACACACACACCTGGTAAATGCAGGGTGTCTAGGCATCTCCAAGCTTTGGCTACATGGTAGCCGCACGATAGAAACACATCTTTCATGAGAGGGTAAAAAAAAAAACCCTGCATTTCAATTTAAAACAAAGAAACCCTTCTGATCTTTTTTGTTTTATTGCTCTCCAAAGCCCCAGTACATGGTTGTAAATCCTAGTTGTGGGTCGTTCTAGTTCTTCTATGTGAGCTGCCGCCACAGCATGCAGCTGACAGACAAGTGGTGTGGTTCTGACTGGGAAGCAAACCTGAGCTGCCAAAGCGGTGAGCACCGAACTTTAACCACTAGGCCATCAGGGCTGGCTCGAAACCTTTCTGATCTTATTATAAACTAATGGGAATAACATTTTAGAATGTGGGCTCATACATGTGATTTGGGGGGCTATAAATTATACTAAGCCTCCCAGACCTTCAGGTTTCCTCACAGCAGAGTATGTTTTTTACCCTGAGATCAAGCTTGGCAGGCAAGAACTGATCTTCTATGGACACAGCGTTGCCTGAAAAAATCGAGGATTATGACACCATAGAAATAAGGAACAAGGGTGTCAAATTCCAGCCGACAGGCAGATCCCCCAATTCTGACAGCCAGTAGGAGGACAGATACCAGGAATGGGGACTGTTGAGAATATCGGGAGTGGGCAGAGTCCTGGACACACCACGCAGCAGAGTGAACTGCTGCTCGTCTGAGGCCAGCAGGACCCCAGTGGACAGCAGGGTCCTTCCCACCACTCATACGCATTTGCTCTGGTTGCAGACTGCCACTCTCCACCCCTGCCTCTGCTTCTGCGGTGAGATGGACCAATAGCAAATAGGAAAGAATACTTGAGGAACCTACTTATATAAAGTCTGATTTGTCCTACACTGAGGTCATTCCTTGATCCATTCAAGTACAACCTGACTTTGCTAACTATTGTCACAGGAGGGATCTTGGTTGAGGCTGTTACTGTTACAGGTGAGTCAGTTCAAATAAATGATTACAATTGTCAACATAAGTAAGCTCTTTGATCCTATTTAATTTGTCAGTTAGTCATCTATCCACATTAGTCTATTTTGGACATTAACCTAAGTCAATCAGATGGATGGATAGGGTACCCAAGTGTAGAGAAAAGTTTAAGTCAAGGCTTCTGAAAATTAAATGTGGTTTAAAAATATTTTTATTGAAGTGAAACAGTGAGTTCAAAAAGAGGTTAATAGGGAGAAAGGATGGAAAATAACCACTGTGTGCCAGATTTATTGCTAGACATTTATATGATCTCAGTTAAAAAATTAATCCTAGAGAGTTAATGTAATCATCTCTGTTTATAGATAAGGAAACCAAGGAAAAGTTAGGTAGCTTGACCTGAGATTCAGTTTACAACTACAAAACTCATGTACTATGTTTTATACCACACCACTTCTATAAAAAAAGAGATCATTTTTAATACTGATTCTCTTTTTTAAACTCAGTGAAGATGAATTTACAACAGAACCATTGCTTTCAACTCAATAAATATAAAATGTTTAACTTTATTTTTTCAGTCTTAGCTTTTTGCTTTTCACATTTCTTTGGCAATTATGCTGTATCTTAATAAAAAGATAATGTGAAGGGGTGGACAGACAGACGGACAACCTGCCTGATAGAAAGAGGAACTGTCCCTGAGGTGTGGGTGTATGTGAAATAGTTCCCCACTCAAGTTCTGTTGTAAAAGTTCATTTCAGGTCAGGTATTTGGAACTAGAATTTCATTTTTCCATAGAAACAATAATGTGGTGTTAGTTAAGGCCCTGGCTCAATGCACAGAAGCCTGTGGAATTCTCAACGTAGCTGCCTTATCATTTTGGTACTAAAGAACTGAGACTCCTTTTAAAATATTGTTTCTTCAGAAAACTGTAGTTCAGGTTCCACCTGAGTACCTTAATCAGGCCCCCACTTCTGCCTCACCCCCTACGCCCCACCCCCTTCCAGAGCCTGGTGGGCTAGGCCCCGATGGAGGCGGCTTTCTGAGCTGGGAGTGGGGTTTATGCAGGGGCGGGTGGGAGGATAGACTGCAGGGGTTTGATGCATTGGCCTAGGTGCCAGGAGGGGAGAGGAGAGAGTTTCATGGTAGCTGGAAATGGTACATCTTTATCCCCATCTCCTCTCCACAAAGTGTGTTTCATAAAACAGCCTGCAAGAAAACGAAACAAAGATCTTAAAGAATAGCTGTTACCGGGAAACAATATGGCAGTTCTACTAAAAGAAAATTAATGCCAAAATGAGACATGAAAAACGACCCCTAGATTGGAAAGCCACGTTTCAGTTCATGTGTTTCTCTTCCGAGTCCTGCCCCGTCACATTCTTGGCATTCCAGTCTTTCTCCCTGGGCTTGCATGAAATCTCTCAGAGCAAATGCTCTTTTCTTGAATACTTGAGATTTTTACTTGAAGATGGAGTTGAGCTGGGTATTGCTGTGGGTCACACCCACTCACCTGGAAACTCAGCCCGAGGAAGTCTTTATAGTCGCAGAAATGGCAAGGGCGCCCTCTGAAGTGATCACTAATTCCCAAACTCAGAAGAAATCAAGTGGAGAAAAAGGAAAACTTTTCTTAAAAAAAGAGAAAGACAAATCTTATCCCTGCATTATTCTTGTATTTCTTTAGGCAGTGGATAGGCTTATTTGTCAGTAAAAATGAAAAGAAAAACATGGTGGATTAAAGAATTTTTAACCTATTTCTGATGTTTATAAGGCCCAAAAGACTATAGTACCATTCTAATCAAATTTATGCATTTTCAGTGGGATTTCAGATTTTAGTCATAAGGCCATACTTTAATCTTCCTGAAGTATATTTCCTGTACCTACAAATGTGCAAATAACATAATTTTAAAATGACTTGGAATTGTGAAAGAAATTTAAAATTTCACTCATAAAATATATAAATGGATGTGCTCCTATCCATTTATTTGTTTAACATTTTTGATTTAAGAAACTCGTAGTGCTTACCGTGTGCTGGGTGTGGTTCTAAGTGCTGTGTGAGTAAACTCTTTTGATCCTCATGACGATCCTGTGAGGTGGGCGCGTTCCCACCGTCGTACAGACAGGGAGGCTGAGGCACAGGAGGCGGCTACTGCAACACACTGAGTTGCTAAGGTGCACACTGGAGTCAGTAAAATGATCAAAGTACTGCTTTATCAAACTTTCCACATAACTGCTTCTGTCCTGAAAACAGTCTCCATACACCAAGTAACTTGAACCTACGCTCGCAGCCCCTTCATCTGGGATAAAAACACCCGGAGGGATTGGGGTCCAGGGCCCTTGACGTTGGGTTCCCGCTCGATTGTGGGAATCTGTCCGTCAGTAAGTCTGTCAGCCATCTTGTAAATGATCTTCAGATGATCCACTAAGCTCATAAGATGTCGCTTGCTGGTACAAAACGATGTTCTTTGGAGATGAGTTTACAACTTTTTCTTAAGGCAGAATTACGATTTTGTTTTTCCCATTGACAGAGGAGTTCGTTTTCCTGGAACAGAAAATTAAAAATTATAAAATCTGTCCTCTTGTTGAGTGTCTGCTGACTCTATACAGCTGGTTGCCTCAGCTGGTCACTCAGCCCATCAAACATGTCTACTGACCTGTCGTCCCTGATGGTGTGAAACTCCAGGAGGATGTCTGTCCATCTTTCTCACTTGCTTAGGAAGTCTCCCAGAGATTGTCCTGAGAAGTTTCCTCTTGTCGGGTCCCCAGTGGCTGACTGCTGATCTCTCTGACACGCCTGCTCTTCTCATCTGAGTAGAGCAGGAAGGGATTAGCATCTGGTTCTGCCAGCCTTTGCCTTGTGACCTTGAACTAGTGCTCTGAGCCTCAGTTTTCTCATCTATAAATGGGAACAATAATACTCATTTCATAGTTATTTTGAGGATAGTTGGCGAAAAGCACTTTGCAAATGGTAAAGGATTAGATTAATATGAGTTGTTATTGGTCCTAATGATTACGATCATAAAGCAAAATAAATGCCTACTCGGCTTTGCATCACAGCCCCATGAGGAATGCACATCAGTAGACGACACATCCCAACCCAACACGGTTTCTAGCAGAAGGGAAAAGATACACGTTAAATGGCTGGACACCAAGAGCACAGAAGTCAGAATTCTGGCTTAACGAGATGCTGTGAAGATTGTTAAATTCAAATCCATTCTTTTAGGATTAATAGAAAAAATGGATTGTTGCCTATTTGACAAACATCAAAGATTTCCCAGAAAGAAGGCACCATCTTGTGGTCAATGGGATGAACTGACAGAGAAAAAGTCCAAGAATCCCACAGCGTTGGAGAACAGTGGTTCTCAAAGCTGCACGTTCCCAGGCCTCGGTCTACCCCTGGAGAGTCAGATGCAAGTGGTCAGATGTGGGGCCCAGGATCAGTACCTGTTAATGCTCCCCAGGGGACTCTAACGTGCAGCCAGGGTTGATAACCGCCCATCAGGAGCTCTTGCTGGTGACCACACAGCCAGTAAGCACGTAGTTGGGCCTACAGCTGCGTCTGCTGACTCCGCACCAGGGCCCTTCCCAGAGAGCAAAGGCTGCTGCTGTGACGCTTGGGGCTCCTGGAGCCCAGGTCACTGGCGCACAGCAAGGCATCTCAAGGGCCTCCCTGCTGCCTCCCAGTGCCTGCTCCTCTCCTTCCTTCCTCTGTTTCTCCCCCTGCCCTCAACTCGCCTGCCTTTCTTCTCCCCCTCCACTGACAACAACAGAATAGCTAACCCAGCACTTGCTTTACAAAGCACTTGCTCCTACCCTATCATTTGATCCACGGCAGTTCTCTGAGGGAGGCGTGATTATCCCTACTTCCTATGAGGAAACGGAGGCCCAAGGTAACACAGCTGGAAAACAGTCTTCTAGACCCAGACCCTATGCTCTGTGGCCTTGTCCGCTGTGGTAGTAATAATAATAGCCCCCATTTATTGAGTATTGTGGAC